AAAAAAAAAAAAGTAAGAACAATTTATTGATGAGATGAACTAATACAAAATATATAAATTTCCCTTGCTTTTGGAACTGAGAATATAAATTTTTTTCATAGTCAACTAAGGTGTGATTAACATTTAAGTACAAAGGTTATTTAACATTAAGCACAAAGGTTGCTCCATGAGTTACTTTGGATTTATAGGATCACCCTTACCAACATTTCTTTTGAAGCTGTGTTTTATGGAAGTTGAGATGTTCAAGCACATTGTTCAATTTAGGACTATTATTCTGAACACAAGACCAAGCAGCCACACAGTGCCAGAGCAGGTGGTTAACTTCATATCCTCCCTGATTAAATTGCAATCGTTCCTGGAATTAAAACATGAAAATATTTCTGGTATATAGCTCTTTGACGTGAATTAACATGAAAATAGATTTTAAATATCTAAATGGAAATGTGTCTTTCCTTATAATTCATGTTTCATCAAGTGGAGAAATTTATACAAAGATGTTTCTGTAAATATATATAGTTAACACAAACCACTGAGAATAAAATATTATGTTTTCATAATCATATGTATGAGTTTCTTGTATTCAATGACATGAGACCTACAATGTGACAAAAACTACATCCTCTAAGGAAAAACTAAGAAAGGCACAACTGTGTTTCTTAGCCTGTGATTTACTTCTCCTTGATGCCAAGGAAGAGGGGATGGGGGAAAGGTTAGACAATGATTTAAAAGAAAATTGGGCTTAAAAATGTGGATTTTAACTTTGAGGACAAAAATATATGTCTAGCTGGACATGGCTAATATCTTCTAAGTGTCTATATTAAAAGTGTACAAATTCAGACAACAAATGAGCTTTTATTGTTTTGACCACCACCAGAGGGCATCATTCAATTTCATTGATTCAACGGGTCTACTGAAATAATTTGTCTAAAAGGGCTGATTTTATTGCTAAATAAATACAAATCCTGTAATATGTACTCATTTGTTCACTTGATTGCTGACTTAAAGTTGATATTATATGCTTTTATGCTTAAAAGAATCCTTAAAAACAACTAAAGAGCTTTATAATTTGCACTTATTATATAAAATATAAGGATGCTTAAAGATCCTTTCAATGCTGAATAATCTTAAGACAGAAATCCAGAAGTTCATTCATAAATTTTAAACTAAGATATGTTACCAGTTTCTAGTAAATTATATACTTAAATCCAATAGATGGTGTTGTTGTTATTAGGTGCCATTGAGTCCTCTCTGACTCATGGTGACCCTATGCTCAGCAAAACGAAACACCCCCCAGTCCCACGCCAGCTTTGCAATCCTTGCTATACTTGAGCCCATCGCCAAAGCATTGTGACAATCCGTCTTGTTGAGGGCCTTCCCCTCTTTTGTCAACCCTCCACCTTACCAAGCATGACATCCTTCTCCAGGGAATGGTCCCTTCTGACAACATGACCACAATAGGTGA